TTATCTAGACAATTAGTACCGCTTATCTAGACAATCACGGTACCGCTTATCTAGACAATCACGGTTACTGGTTTTGAGTGACCAAATAACAAATGTGTAAAGACAAATCAAAACTTAACGGACAAATCAAAGACTGGACGCCGCATTCTATTTGTTTTACAAATTATGAAAATTTAGTGTCTATCAGTCCGATAATATATAGAATTTCCCCAACAAAAAATAAATAAATAAATAGAGAAGAAAGAGTATTTACATACCTTACACGGCTGGAAAAGGGGAACCTGGACTCAAATACGGTGGCGAGAAGTTCGTTTACTGCACGTGAAGCTCACTTACCTACAAAGCAAAAAAGAAAACATCCAAGAGAAGAAAATTTGAATTCAAAAAGTGCAGTAAAAAGAAAATTCAAACTAAACCAAATTACATATTCCTAAAGAACTTTTAATAATCATATATATGTCATTCAACTGCTTGATTAATTCACAATAACTGGAGTGAGTTTACCTTGTCGATGTCGAGGTTTTCAGAAGTTACTTTAAAACGTCCTCTTTGCTGCATGCACAACTGGCGGCTTTGATTTGTAGTCAGATTCATCTATGCTCGCTGAGACCAGTTCATCATTTAATTAATTAGAAAAAGCACTGATACACAGATTGGATTCAAACATATATATACTTACTTGCTGCTTTGGGTGGTTTAACAGCCATCTCTAGTGGTACTTCATCTCCTCCCAATGTAGGATGTGCCCCATTTTGAAGCTGATCTTGGGTTTTATCACTGGGAGTTAAACATTTTAGCTTTTAATCTCACATACAGAGTACATGTGAATATGAGTGTTGAAGTAAGTTTTTTTGGTCTATAATCAAAGAAAATTTGAACCTCAGGTCTTCAAAGACTTAAGCAGGTACGGTTAAAACAATAAGACTAAAAATGTGTGCCAAACAAAGCTCTTACAAAAGCAGAGTACATGTTAAGGGATTATTATTAACCTGTCTCCCTTATTGACACAATTGCCAGCTGGAATTTCTGTTGGATGATTGGTTGCAATAGTTGTGGAATGCATTGGTTTCCATTACTTGTAACTGTTGTATTATTAAAGATAGATATCCTCATGACGGGGAGAGGAATGAATACACGTAGTTATCATCATAACTGCTGGGGCTGGCAAGACTTCAGATTTATCCCTGATCAACCAAAATATTATTTGTTCAGTTTATAAACCTATACTTAGTTCCAGATAAGTAGTAGACAACGAAATGAAAATCCCAAACAGAGAACAAAATAGATACCGAGTTCGGTGAATTAGGGGTTGGAGATGATGCTTATTTTGCCAGGTGACCAATATCCTCCTGCAGAGATTAGGTAATAAAGAACCCTTAAACATCGACAGAGTAACAAACATGGATAGAGAAAGGAAACATATCGAGAATAGCTACTTTGAGAGCAAACTTATACCAATGAGGCTGGGGCTTTCATGTCATCGAGATTGAAATTCCACCCACTGATACCTCCTCTCTTAAATTCATTCTGCATGTTACTATGACAATAAGTTAAAAGGCCAAATACTCTGAAAATTATTTAGAACTGGAAAGTTAAAAGATTTAAACATCGATAGAGAAAACTAGAAACACACAAACCTGCGACAGTTCCTCCTTCTCTCTCCATCTGCCATTTTCTCTTGTGCAAGCGCATATCTTCTTCCTTTTTCTGTATGTAGAAAACAAAAATAACCATCCCTTCTTTCATAAGATGATGGTTGATAATTTTGAAAAACATATACTTAAAATTCTATTTATATTCAACCTTTATTGCCAAGCAATGTAGTCGCTTGACCTTGCTTGCTTAAAAAAAGAATGCTTTAACAACTTTTTTGGCAGATGGGCGTTTGGAAGGGTCTTTAACTAGACAGCTAGCAATCATCTGCTTGAAAGACTGAAAATACCATGAAAAGAGGACAAAACTAAGATGAGATAATAAGCCAAAAAAATCTCACCAGGATGTAAAAAAAGTATTGACTGAAACCAAGAGAGTAGTATATACCCTTGAAAACTTCCTATCTCTTTCGTAATCCAGCCCTGGTGGAGCATTTTGCAAGGTCATAAGCAGAACCTGAAAACCATATTTTTATTAAGCATCGAACCAAAGAAAAGTATTTATCAAGTATTTATAGAACAAACTGTATTCAAGTATTTATTAAGCATAATTATTATTCTACATCTATCTGTGTCTAAAGCAATATTTTTTAACAAGCCATGACAACAATCTACTTCAGTAGTAGTAGAGAAACCAGATGCTTTACCTTCCAAAAAAAAGTCTGTGATGTGTTCTTTGAGTAGATGTTGCGGGTTCTCTGCTTGCTCACTCGTTGATGTCTTCAGCTTCTTCTTGGACTCGTCATTGAACTCTCAGACAGTCACTTGGCAGCACTATATCCAAAGGTCTCTCTGTCTTGGGTTTGTCGACTTTCTTCACTGAGAGAGAGTCAACCGGAGGGAACTCGATGGTGTCCATCTGAAGGACGAGCTCAGTGTTCCAAGGGAAGCACCAGTTTTTTTTTTTATTAACAAACAAGAGTAGTTTTTTTGTTAATAACAAGAACAAGTTTGAAAGGCTGTAATAAATCTGTAATGGATAAGAGAGAGAGAGAGGAAATCAGACTTTTTAAATAAAATTTTGATAATAAGTTACCGTTGTTGTGTCAGAAAATATAATACAACATTAAACAACAAGTTAATGAATATGTTACGGTGAAATTTTGATAATAAGTTACCGTTGTTGTGTCAGAAAATATAATAGTTATAATAATAAAACATTAAACAACAAGAGAAACGCAACATGTTCTGTATATCCATCCGTTTGATAAGCAACAAGACACATGTGCAAGAAATCAAATAACTTTAGAGCCTCAAACATTAAACAAAACATTTCTTCACGTGAAAAAAATCAAAACTTTAGAATGAATATGAATAGGAGAAACTAACCTCAAAAACGAGCATAGCGACAGCGTCTTGATTGGTTCCTTTCTTGCCTTGCTGTGTGTAAAGACATGCACTTTCACTCGAACCATTCGATATCAACCGACCCGAAACCTCTTGAATCCCTTCCATTTTGATGTAGCGGAAGCTACGATAACACGATTAGATTTTTTTTCTTTTCCATTGTCATGAATGATTTCAAATAAATATTGAGCACAGTAGTTTAAGGAATAAAAAATATAAATCAAAACTAGCTTTTAAAAATACTTTGGCAAAATCTAATTTAATAAAAATATAAAAATGAATTTGTGTAGATGATAACTTGGTAACACAAAAATAAAACAATCTCTTAATATATGCAAATAATATATCATATTAAAATCATATTTATAATCAATTTATACTAATCATCGTAGTATATGGAAAAAATATATTGGATGTATTCTACTATGCACGTTTTATAGTATTGTTCCTAATAACTAGAATGTATTTTAAAACTATAGATATTTTAATTCTAGTCAAGTTATTTAAAATCATGCTGTATGATTATCAAAACTACATATTCTCTAATACAAGCTATAAATTATACAATAAATATTATGAA